GTCGTTTCCGGTTATTTTTGGGTCCCCCCTCGTATGCATGGCTGAAACCATCAGATCTAGGTTTCCATTGTCCACTGCACTGGAGATGGTTAATTCCTGCCCTGGCCTCTGCATCCAACTGTACATGCAGTGGGGGGAGTCCAAGGAGTATCTCCAGTGCAGCTGTTGGAGATGTTCAAAGTGCTCCTGTGATACCTAAGCAATTTGCTAAGTTCTGTCTTGCTTGTCATGAGTTCAACTCTGGGTCACCATACTGTGGCACCGTAAGTAATTATGGGTCTCACAACCACAGTATATATCCAATGTATAACGTGTGGTTGCAGTCCCCAAGTTTTACCAAACATGCTTCTGCATGTCCAAAAAACGTAATAGGCTTTGTTAATGACTTTGTCCAGCTGCTTTTTCCTTGTCAGTCCCTTGTCTAATTCTAGACCAAGGTACTTGACATCACTGGAGAGCTGGATTGTCTTATTAAAGAGAGTCGGTTCCTTAAGACCCTTTATACAGGGTGTCCCAGGAGGAATGGACCAAACTTCGGGAGGGTGTTCCTTATGTTAAAGTATGCCGATATAACCCAAAACACCTATGTCCAAAGTTGAACGGTTACGGAGATAATGGCCCGAGAAAAGTGTGGTCTTCTTGCAGGTCCACGCACTGTGGACAGTCAGCTGTGACTGTTATCTGTTTGTACTTGAGTGTGGTGATGTCACACTAGCCGTGATCTCATGCGCAACCTACCACAGCCTACAGATTACGTTGCGGCGGGGACGTGAATGGGTGGTAAATTAGTTGTGTGATGAGTTGCTGAAATGCCTCTTGTGTTTTCACACGTGGAATATTGTGATATGCATTTTGTGTGTGGATTTTGCGGTCGCAATGCACGTGCTGCTGTTGAAGAATACCAAAGGCGTTTTCCCGATCGAAGGATTCCATCTCGAAGTGTATTTACGCGAATTCACCAGACATTGCGTGATACTGGTTCTCTTGCAAGTGTTTCTGTGCACTCTGAAAGGCAGGATGTACGAATGATAGACACACGAGAGCACATTCTTGATATTGTTCAGTGAAGTCCACGTCTATCACTCGTAGAATTGCCTCTCGCATCTGCGTATCACGTATTCAGGTGTGGCAAACTTTACATCATGAAGAGTTATTCTTACCATGATCAAATGGTACAACATCTGGAACCAGGCGACCATGCACAGCGTATGGATTTGTGCCACTGGATAAAAAGTTCATCCCGAACTGTTAAGCGTCATTTTATTCAGTGATGAGGCGTCTTTTACCCTGGATGGTGTAAATAATTTACGAAATGTGCATACGTGGTTCCATAATAATCCACATGAGATAATGGAAACGAAATTCCAAAAGAGATTTCCTGTGAATGTACGTTTACAGTTATGTGGTCGGGTTATAGCGCAGCCATATTACGTCATCGCTCGCCAGTCATGTGTCATGTATAGTGCTTGGAAACCTAAGGACAATTATGACATGGCGAGCGAGTATTTCGTACTTCAATTTTATGGCTTTCCGTCACTCACAAGTTAGTTTGATGTTACGTACATTATTAACATTACAGAATCCACATATTCCTGCCAGTTTTAATATGTATTTTGTAATCAACAAGTGTGTAACACCGGTCAAAGTTTGACACTTCTCTGGCCATTATCTCCGTAACCGTTCAACTTTGGACATAGGTGTTTTGGGTTATATCGGCATACTTTAACATAAGGAACACCCTCCCGAAATTTGGTCCATTCCTCCTGGGACACCCTGTATTTCTCTTCCTAGTAAACGGTATAATTACCGTATTATTGGGATTGATGGAAAGACCTGTTCTTTCACACCATCGTTGGACCGTGTACAGAGCTGTTTGAAGACACTCTGATACGGTCAAAAGGAATTTTCTGTTTATGAGGATTGCTATGTCATCAGCATATCCTACTGTATAATACCCATCATCATTAAGTACCCACAGGAGATTGTCAA